TCAAAGACCTCTACTTTGAAAACTACAGTATGCTGCAAAAGGAGATTGAAGAAGATACCAGAAAATGGAAAAATATCTCTTGCTGTTGGGTGGGAAGAACCATTGTAGTGAAAATGACCATATTTCCAAACTTGCTATACAGATTTAATGCAGTTCTGATCAAAATTCAAAGAACATATTTTACAGAATTGAGAAAACAATCCTAAAATTCATTTGGAACCAGAAGAGACCTAGAACAGCAAAGGAAATTCTGGGCAACAAAGGCAAGGTGGTGGGGGGTGGAGGGCATCATAATCCCAGCGTTAAATTATACTACAGAGCTACTATGATAAAAACAGCATGGTACTGGAGGTGGGGGATAGACCTGAAGATCAGTAGAGCAGATTAGAAGATGCAGAAACAACCTCAGACACCTTATCTGACAAAACTGCCCAACATAGTCACTAGAAAAAAAGCCTCTTAAATAAATAGTGATGGAAAAACTGACTTTGCACATGCAAAAGATTAAAATTATGTCTTTCATCATGCACTAAACTAAAATCAAATGGATCAAAGATCTAAACAAAATAGAAACAGTAAATCAACTGGAAGACAGAATTGATAGTATTCTTGAAAACATTAGTATAGCAAAGACTTCATGAACATGACCTCAGTTGCACAGGAATTGTCACAGAATCAGCAGCTGGAATCTCATCATTAAAAAGCTTTTTGCACAGCAAGATAAATCACCAACAGAGTGAAGAGACAACCTACACATTGGGGAAAATTTTTTGTAGCTGTTCCTCAAAGGAGTATTATCAAGAACTTAAAAAAAAAAAAAACCAAAAACATACCCACACCCACAAATTTAAAGACCCAATCCAAAGCTGGGCACCTGAGGTGCATATATACCTCTCAGATGAAGATATACAGACAGCAAATAAATATATGAAAAAATGTTCGACATCACTCATCATTCATGAGATACAAATTAAAACAACACTGAGATTTCACCTCACCCCAGAAAGAATTGCTATTATCAAAAAAAAAAAAAATTAAGCAGTAAAAAATGCCGAAGGGAATGTGGGGAGAAAAGGATACTTCTCTACTGTTAGTGAGAGTGTAGACTGGTGCAGTCACTGTGGAAATCAGCGTGGAGATTCCTCAAAAAACTGAGGTTCCATTTGACCAGCTGTTCCTCTCCTTGATATCTTCCCAAAAGAAGTAAAAGCATCATACCACATCAATATATGCACACCCATGTTTATAGCAGCACAGTTTGTAATAGGTAAATCTTGGAAATAAGCCCAAATGCCCATAAATTGGTATAAAGATGATGTGAGGTTTTTCATATAATGGAGTACTGCTATGCTACATCAAGGATATTTCTAGGAAAATGGATGCACTTTGACACCATAGTCTTAAGTGAAATAAATTTGACACACGTGTAAACACCACTTTATTTCTCTGGTCTGAAACTAAAAGTGTAAATAATGACCAAAATGTCTAGTAGGTATTGTGAAATAAAATGTTCAAACATGGAGGGGGGAATAAAGGAGGAGGGTAGAAAAGAGGGGAAAAGTTAAAAAAGAGAGAAGAAAAGAACAGAAATAAAATTTTGTAAATGGAGAGAGGAGGAGGGGTTGAAGGTAGTGTAGGGCATGGGAAAAAAAAAATCAAATTACATCATGTACCAGGTATAAATTCTTTGTGATGAATGTGATCATTGTGTCTAAAATGTACTAATAAAATTTGATTGAAAATAAAACAAAAGATAAAATATTCTGATTAGCATCGACAATGAAACGTTGTATGAAGTCTTAAGAGAAAGCAGATAAAGCTTGAGTGTAGTTGAACAGCAAGGTGCTTAATTATCTCAGAAACAATATGAGACAATACACAGGAATGTTTTCGAGCTGGAAATCTTACCTGAGTCTTGGGATCAGAGGTGGGTTTTTTTTTTTTTTTTTTAAAATGTGTGTGTGTGTGTTTTAGTTTTTTAAAATTAGGGATCGGCCTCAGTTGGGCTGATATCAGCTATTTGGACACAGGTCCACCCGGAGGTCAACCTAGGTACAGTAGGCCTCAAGCTCAAGCATACTAAAACAACTACACCTCTGCCCCATTAAGTCATATGTTAGCATAAACTATCTGAAGAAACTAATACATTGTGGCCCAGAGCCTTAGATGAACTAACCAGGCAGATTATCGCAGGGGTTCAGAGGTCCTCTTCCTGACAGCCTCCTCTGGGTCAGTCCTTAGGGCTTTCTTGGGAATCTGCAAAGTTTGAGTAACACAAGCCTGCCAAGAAAACCCTTTCTTGCACAGTGGTAAATGTATGTTTATTTTTCAAGACCCCAGGCAATTGTCACCTTGTTACCTGATTCACACACTTCTTGTTTTTTGTGACAGGGCCTTACTGTTTAGTTCAAGCCAACCATGAACACTGCTGTCTTTGAGAACACATTCTTATTTCCCATATGGCCTTCAGGTCCTCACCTTGCAGCAGTTTTTCCTCTCTATCTCCTGCCAAACGAATGTCAGGCTGGGTTTTGGGGAGCATGGGAGTGATGCTGGTGTGAGCCCACCTTTTGCCCTTCCCCTTTTCAACACTGTGTTTTAGGCCAACTCCGGACTCTTCATCATCGTCCTGCCTTGACCTTCTCAGTGTTGAATCTCATCTGTGTATTACCACTCCTGGTTCTGATAAACTCTTTTTAAGAGTTTGTTGCTTTCATATCTACACTTATACTTTACTTCATACCACTTCAAAGAAACAGCTTGATCTTTTTCTTCTAATCTGTGTTCTTTGGTTTGGATTTTTTTGGGGCAGGGGGTACCAGGGATCAAACTCATGACCTCATACTTGCTAGGCAGGCGATTAAGCCGCTGAGCTAAATCCCTGCTCTTGGAAAATTGTTTTTGTGTATTTCCTTTAATCAAGTTTGTTTGCTTGCTTACTTATGTATGTATTTATTATAACAAAGTTCAACTGTGTAGTAAAGGCTGGCCTGGAACTAGATCTTCATACTTCATCCTTCCAAGTGCTGGGATTAAAAGCACATGCCACCACAAGATCTTTGTATGCTGGTGGTTTTTTTTTTTTTTTTTTTGGCCTTTCTGAAGCAAGTTCTCACTATTGTGGTTCAGGAAGGCTGGCTTTGGGCTCACTTTGTAGCCCAGGCTGGTCTCGAACTTGCAGCAATCCTCCTACCTCAACTTCCCAAGTGCTAGGATTACAGAAGTATGCCACCACACCCAGCCCTTTCTGTATTTTTTGCATGTGATTTTTTTTGGTACTGAGAATTGAACCCATGACCTTGCACTTGCTGGGCAGGCACTGTGCCACCAAGCTATATCTCTGGCCCTGCATATGATAGTTTGATGATAAAATACATAATAAATGTTGGGCTATGTAAAACAGTATTTTGTTTTCAAGTACATACAGTGATTATATTTGAGTTTATGTAACAATAATGTATATATGTCTTCTAGGAGATTTATTCCTAGTTTAAGATGGAAGTATTTGCATTTTCATTTTACCTCAGAATGACTATATGCTTCTGAGGTTTATATATTACACATGTCTCAAACAACTTCTGCAGCTATTTATATCACATTCTTTTATGTGGTGCTCTACATAATTGTGCATATTGTGAGCTATAAACATCATATGCTAAGCTGGGCATTTAGCTCAGTGGCATAAACACCCGCCTGGCAAGTGCATGGTTATGAGTTCAGTCCTTTGTACCAAAAAGAAAGAAAAGAAAAGAAATTAATGTAAACATCATACACTAATCTTTTTTCTTTTTAAAGGTGTTTTTGAGACAGGTTCTCACTGTAGTTTTGCCTCAGCACCACCGTGCCACTTTACATACTAGTTTTGAACCTTTTCTTGAAGGTGAAATTTATACTATATTTTCCTTTCCATGGCTGATATGTAATAGATTGTTGTATCGATACTGGTACTGTTTTTAGTTCTTAACATTAGCTCCACGTGTTACCTCAGCAGTTTATTGTTTCTGACAGAATGCTTTTGTGTGAAACACAGATGACCTCTTCTCTCAGTAACATAAGTTAAGGTATCTCTGAACTGAGTCAGATTTTATAACATGATAGATGTGTGTTAGTTTCTGTTGCTGCTGTAACAAAGTGACCCTAAACTTGGTAGCTCAGAGGAATGTATATCTTATTCTCCTACTGTTCTGAGGCAGAAAGTTTAAAATTAATTTTACTGGACTAATACTAATGTCTTGGCAGATTTGATTCTGTTGCAAACTCAGAGAGGATCTACTTTATTGTTCAGCTTCTAGTGGTCAGCTTTCTTGTAATGTCTAGTATGACAGGGTCTTTGTAAATTGTTAAATTACCCACGTTGCTCTCAAACTTGGCAATCCTCAGTCTCCCAGTGCTGAGATTACAGGTATGCTCCAACATGCCCAGCTTTGCCTACCTCTTTTTTTTTTTTTTTTTGTACTGGGGATTGAACTTTCAACCTTATGTTGCCAAGCAGGCACTTAGGCTGCTGAGCTAAACTCCCAGCCCCTTGCCTACCTAAATGTATTTATGACCTGCTGGACATATTTCAGGTGGGAAACACTTTTCACTCAAAGAACCTTAATTTAGCTTCCAGGCATGGCGGTGAATGCCTGTAATTCTAGTACTCAGAGGATGGCAAGTTCCAGGCTAGCCTGGGCTACAGGGAGACCCTGTTTGCCCCGGACCCACATCACAAAGCCTTAATCATCTTTGCAAAGTCCATTTTGCTGTGTAAAGAACACTTAAAGGTTTTGAAGATAAGGTTGCTTTTGAGGGCATTATTAATTATCCTCCCACATACTACAGTAAAGAAGCAATGTTTAGGGAGCTATCACACCCACCTTTGAATTACTCAGTCATTTTACTCAGCTCTTGATGCTCATTTTTTGGTCATGCCTGGACATAAATGGTTTCCAAATGGGCATCATGCACAAACACCACCTCGCCTGACTGTTATTTAATGTTGCCATTTTGTGTTGTAGTTGGTGTAATACGCTGCCCAGTATGCCGCCAAGAATGCAGACAGATAGACCTTGTGGATAATTATTTTGTGAAAGACACATCTGAAGCCCCTAGCAGTTCTGATGAAAAATCAGAACAGGTATGCCTCTCAATTTTTCTTTATATTCCTGTCTTGATATCAAATGTTAATTTTAAGAAAATATACATGTTTCGGGTAGTTACGTGATTTAGGCTTTAGTTTTATCTTTCAAATTGAAAATAAGCTTTCTTCTACACCATCAAAGTTGGTTAAATGAAACTAGAACTATTACTTAAAAAGTAAAATCTTGCGAGGACTGTGTGTTCTGAGCCTAGATTTTTACCTATATAAAAGTTGAATGTATAAGGAAAGAATTTAGTTGGAGATAAATGACTAACAAAAATTTTACTATTGATAGTGAATCTGTTAGTATATTTGACAGCAAGTTAGAATGTTTCACCATTTTATTTTGAGGATCTCTATTTGGTAAATTTAATGTAGATTAGCATTTATTTCTTCTTTTAGGTATGTACTAGTTGTGAAGACAATGCTAGTGCAGTTGGCTTTTGTGTAGAATGTGGAGAGTGGCTATGTAAGACATGTATCGAAGCACATCAAAGAGTAAAATTCACTAAAGATCACTTGATCAGGAAGAAAGAAGATGTCTCAGGTAAGATACATGTAGTTTTAATGATTATAATTACCTTTTTCTTTTGGTCCCATAACGTTTTCTACTTATTTATAAAGCATCAATTAAAATTTAGAAAACTAATAAAACGTTTTATTATATGTAGTTGAAAAAAGTATTTGTTTTATTTTGCTACAGAGTCTGTTGGAGCATCTGGTCAGCGCCCTGTTTTCTGCCCTGTACACAAACAAGAACAATTGAAACTTTTCTGTGAAACATGTGATAGACTAACATGTAGAGACTGTCAGCTATTGGAACACAAAGAACATAGGTACAGAAGTCATAATTGCTTACTGAGAAGCATTATAAAAATTGCTTATAAATTTTGTTTCAGTATTTAAATTTTATGTATTTTATTTCTTGAGGCATTATGTGTTTTGACAGATTTAATGGTTTTCCTATTCATCGCTAATTGTCTTATAAATATTTGTTGAAATGTATCATTATGTTGATTTGCTTTTTATGGATAGAATTACATTATTTCTTTGTTATTTTGGTTCAGATAAGCTTTTACTAACATATTTAGGCTGTAGATTGTAATCTGTAAAGGCAATATGGGTATGGCTAATTTCTCAGGGATGTGGGTGATAGGCATTTTAACATCGAAATATGGATATATTGGTATCAAGTTAAATGTATAATTTTCAGGAAAACTATGAATTTATAAACAGCTAAGTGACTCCATAGTATATAATTTTAAAGCATAATTACTCCTTGAACATGTAACTTTATCTTTTAACTGTATTTTTACCTTGAGAATCAGTAGTATTTACTTGTGGGGCTATTTCACCAGAGTACTGAAGTTTTTAGTCAGGTATATAACAAAAGTCTTAACTGATTAAATTTCTCTAGCTTCCAGAGCATCTGTTTATTATAAGTAAATAAACATGGTCTGACATAGTATAAAGTTTTCTAATGTGTTTCCTAAGAGAAATTTTTCTGGATGGTTAGAAATAAGTTCCATGAGTCTATTGTCAGAATTTAGGAAGTCAGGCAGTTGTGGTACATCTGTAATCTCAGCACTTGGGAGGCTGAGAGGAGAATTGTTGAGAGTTCCAGGCCAACCTGGGCTGCAGAGTTCAAGATCAGACCAGACTACATAGTGAGACCCTGTCTCAATACTTCCTACCTCAAAAAAGGAGAAAAAGGGGTGGGGTAGGAAAAATTAGGCTTTAAATTACCCTCCCTCTCTTCTCTTTGGAGAAGACCATAGGAGTTAAACCCACAGTCTTCACACTAAGTTAAGTCTCCACTCTTTTTTTTTTTGGAGACAGTGTCTCCCTGCTCCCTGTGCATTTTGGGTTGACACGGAACTCACTATGTAGCCCAGGATGGCCTCAAATTCTGAGCAATCCTCCAGCCTCAAGTTTCCCAAGTTCAAGGGTTACAGTTGTGTGCCAGACTCCTAGCACAGTCACCCTTCTTTTTTGCGAGACAAGGTCTTGTTAAGTTGCTGAGGCTGGGTTTGAACTCACTGTTTTCCTGCTTCAACCTCCCAGCCATGTGCCACCACACCCTGCTTTTTTTTTTTAACTTTTTTTGAAATAGTGTCCCGCTATGTCACCTAGCCAGGTGTTGAATTTATGATTTCTTCAATGAATTCATTGAAGTTAATTTGATCACAGTAGGTTTGTTTTGTTTTGTTTTCCCATCACGGGGTCTCACTATGCAGTCCAGACTGTCCTTGAACTTATAACGACCCTCCTGTCTCAGCCTCCTAAGTACGAGACTAACAGACTTATGGTACCATGCACAGCATGTACTATAATCTTAATTACTAACAATTGTTGCATCCTTATGTGTGCCTACCACATTTAATTTATAAAGTTTAGGTACTGGCATTATGACTCCATAGGTGAGCAAGTCTGCTAACTACAAGCTTTAGTAATCTGTGCAAGGTCTCATAGTAAATTTTTAGGGCCAGTATTTTGGTTTGGCTTGGTTTGATTGTCTTGATGATGGTACTGGGATTAAACTAGGCCTTGTATATGCCATACAAGTGCTTTACCATGGAACTAAACCCCATTCCTCAGATACCTTATTCAGTGGTTTCTTGTTTTGTGGTATTGGGGACAAACCCAAGGCTTTTACACTGAGCTACATCCATTCATAACCCTCTTTGACTTTTTTTTTTTAAGACATGGTTTTGCTAAATTCCCTAGTTTTGGACTTGAACTGGTGAACTTCCTGCCTCCCAGAGTTGCTGGGATAACAGGCATTCCCACCCTTTTGAGTTTTTATGGAGATTCACTCACTATATAGGCACGGCAGATGAAGTCATTGGCCACCTGTGATCAGCTCAGCCTTCATACTTTCTCTTTGCCATCTGAGCTTAGAGCCCACTTGTCACCTGGCTATCCTGGAACCTCAGCCATCGGTTAATGCTTCATTGGCATGTAAAAGTACAATCACAACTGGCCATGATGGCACACTGCTATAATCATAGCACTTAAGACAGACTGAGACAGGAGAGTCACTATTTCAAGACTTGCCCAGGCAATTTAGTGACTTGGTGAGACTCCATCTCAAAGTAGAAAAAACAAAACAATGACTGGAGAATGCAGCTTAGTGCAAAGGCCCCAGTACTACACCTGCACTTCCACCCCCACCCCCAAATTGAGAAATTTCAAGGATTTTTGTTACTGTATTTCAGGATGAAGACAAAGAAATATAGTCATGCTTCAAGCAACAATTAAAAGAGGGACTGTGTATATATACTAAATATTTAGGTGGCACCAAGCCTCATTAGTCTGGGCATGTATACTTTTTCTGTGATGTTGGCATAGTGACAGAATTACCTTATAATTCAATTCTCAGAACCTATCCCTTTCTTAAAAGGATGCATGATTATAATTCATATCACAGTATCACACATCACTTTTTTTTTGTTCGTACTTCCATTATATTTTTCCTGAAAGTACTGTTGTTGAACTTATATCATGGCATTTAAAAAACTGAGGTTCCTATTTTTGTAACAAATTTATAATCTCTCTACTTTGATGTTTACTACTAAATTAATTTCCTTCAAGTTGCTGCTAGTATTACTTTGTTGAAGTATAGTTGTTCCCAGAAAACAACAATAAAACACTTTGCAGTGGTCTCATAATGGTTATGATACAAAGTTTTATTTTGGTATAGATACATTACTGAATCATCTTTTTCCTCCCTCCCCTTCCTTCTTTCCTGCCAGGTACTATAGAGATTGAACTGGGTCTCACAAATTCTAGGGAAATGCTCTTCATCCCCATCCCCCTCGCCTCTCTTAATTTTATTTGAGGCAGAGTTGCCTAAGATAGGCTCACACTTGAAATCCTGCTGCCTCAGCCTTTTGAGTAGCTAGGATTCCAGGTGTGTGTGAGCACACCATTTCACTGTCCTTTTTTACCTCCCTCTTCGGAATTAGACTTTATCCTCTAGAGAAAGTGAATGATCAGAAGGGGCCCCTAAATTTTGGCATTTAAGTCTAATTTTTAGTTAAAAGCTAGATCTTCCTCAGATTGCCTTACGGAAAAGCCCATCAGTTCATAAATCCTGCTGTTTGACAGGATTCTCAGCCCTCCCCCCTTGAGGAGAGTAACACCAAAGATCAAACCTAGGGACTCTTGCATGTCACACAAGCACTCTACCATTGAGCTACATCTCCAGCCTTTTTTAAATTAATTTGAGATAGGTCTTGGTAAATTACCTAGACTGGCTTCAAGCTTTCAGTCCATCTACCTCAGTCTTCCTAGTACCTGGAATTAAAATGCCATGTTTGGCCTGACTCAGAATTTTTTTTTTAAAGGTAAAACAGGTAGCTCAATAACACAGTACTTGACTGGCAAGTGCAACGCCCTGAATTCAACTGCCAGAAACAGCCACCCCTCAAAAAATAGGGTAAAGGCAAATTCTGGAATAGCATCAGCTCTGCATACCTGTTCCCAGGCAGATGGATAAAACTAGTGTTCCTACCAGACATGGTGGTACATGCCTGTAAATCTAGCATTTCGGGAGACTGGGGCAGGAGGATTGCAATGAGTTTGAGGCTAACCTGGGCTACAAAATAAGTTCAAGTCCTGGTTGAACTATACAGCAATACCCTGCCTTAAAAAAAAAAGGTAGCCAGCCTGCAAAACTGGTGTTCCTGAGGACAAAGCAAGGGCAAACTAAATTTGGTTTTGCTAAACTAACACCGTCAATTCCCTCTTCTCTGGCTTGTTTATATGAGCCTTGATTAGTTACTACAGTTGTACGTATTTCTTGTCTCTCTTTGTTTCTGTCTCTCTCTGACAGGGTCTTGTTGTGTAATTTAGGCTGACTTTAAACTTACTATGTATCCTAGGCTGGCTTCAAACTCACAGCAATCCTCATACCTCAGCCTCCTGAGTGCTGGGATTTACAGGCATGCACCACCTTGTCCAGCTTCAGTTGTATGTATTTCTAACTGGCACAGACACTAACTTGAAAAGAGTAAGGTGCACTGAAAAAAGAACCAGAAGACAGTGTAGGTACAAAGCAACAACAAAAATGTAGAATTAAAAACTATAACGTCCTGAAAGATACAAGAAAGTGTGGAGCATGAAATAAGAGTAGGATCTCTTCAAAGGCCATAATCGAAGTAAGAAATAAGTCTTGGAAGTTTAATGGCTAAAATAAAAAAATAGCAGAGTTGGTCAATACATTTTAGTCCCCTAGAAAACAGACCAAAAAGAAAATAAATTAGTCACAAAGATTATAAGAGTTCTGACAGATAACCAGCATGAATTACTGAAGAAAAAAAGACGATTTTGGAAAATGATCTTATAGGTCAAGAAACTTTTAGAACCTAGAGTCACCAGAATTAAATGTGTTAAATTAAGTGTCCAATGCAGGAATTGTTACTGAAAAAATATTGAAGTGTGTGTTACAGCAAAATGACAGTACACTGTGGATTAAAATGCAGATCCAGTGTTCTCCAAAGAGTATTATGAGGTAATTGGCAGTGAAGTGGAGATTAAAAAAATAGGGTCTTAAAATATGGCAATGCCAAGAATTTTATAAGTTGCAGTGTCAAAAGCAGTAGAAGATACTAGATCAGTACTTCAAAAGTCAGAAAGAGAGAAAATAATTTTCAACCTAGAATTCTATAATTTTACTATAAATTCTATACCTACATAAATTCTGTAACATGCATGGATTCCAAAACTTTGCCTCCTATGTATCTCTTTCCGAAAGATGATCCAGTAAAATAAGTTAGTAAACCAAGAAAGTAGAAGGAAAATGAGTGACCCAAATAATAACTGTCCAGTGAAG